GTAGGAAGGGGATGAGCAGGTACGTGTGCGGCCAGGGCATTCCCCTGGGACCCTGCATGAGTCACTCTGGGCGGCCCAGCGCCAGGGGACTTAGGAAGCACCCAGCACTGATAGGGCCACTCAGCCTCCCCTTCCCGGGGCCCAGTGGCTGCTGCCTCTGGTTATGCAGAACCAGGTGGCGCGGCCCAGCCTGGATGGCTCACAGCACAGAATGCAGAGGTGGCCTGTGGCCCCCTGGCTGGACCCTCGGAGGATGTGGTGGGGCCCTGCAGGTGAGGCGCAAGCCGGGAGTTCCAGGCTGCCCCTGGCAAAGGCAGCAGGGCTGGACGAGGAAGGCAGGCGTGTCCAGGCCCCCAGGGGGGTCCCTGCAGATGGGAGCGGCAGGAGGGTGCTGGCTCCCTGGACGATGTGACACAGCCCCAGCCACAGGGGGCTGGTGTTCACTGCCACCACCCAGGTGGGCCTGACAGCCAGGGTCACACCTGCGGATCCAGTGGACACCACCTAGCTGAGCGCCTGGGAACCTGGAAAGCAGTCACGTGGGCGCCTCCCAGCAGGTGGGTCTGCTCATCCCTCCACGGCCCCCCAAGCCTCTGGCTCTTGCCCTACCCGGGCTTACTGATGCCCCCTCCCGGGGGCCCTGTAATCCCGGAGCAGCCAGGAACCACACCCTGCCCTGACGGCAGCTCTGCCCAGCCCCACTCAACAGCCGCGAGCCTCCAGGGTCAGCTCAGAGCCCGCTCGTGACATGGGGAGCGAAGCCCAACTCTTCCCTTGGAGCCGCCTCCGGGGCTGCAGCGGCGAACCCAGCTGCCCGGTGGCCTCCCGGCGCCGTCGGGGGCTGTCCCGAGGGTCCTGTAGGGGAGTGGGAGGAGGGGCACCCCGGCCCCCGCTGCGCACGCAGGCGAGCCGGCGAGCCGGGCGTGCTGCGGCCCCTGCACCCGAATCCACGAACAGGACACGCAGCGAGGCGCTGGCGTTTGCCAGCATCACGGTGGGTGACGTCACGCCCGCCCCTCGGCTGGGGGTCCGGGGCGATGACCGCGGCGCGCGGCGCTCCCAGGGCCGGGCCGGGCGGGGGCGCGCCGGCTCCCCCTTGGCTCCCAACCTGCGGGGCGCGGCGCGGCGCGGCGCGGCTCCTCGGCCCGCTCGCCTGAACGCGGCGGAGGGCGCTGCCGAGCCGCTCTTATCAGCGCGGGCAGCTGGCGGCCGTCCCCGCGCGAGCGCCCCGGCCAATTCAATGGCCATTGTCCGCCGGTGCCTTTGTTCAGGAGGCGGCCGCTTCCTGCGGAAACGCCCCGCCGGGGCCAGACACGGAGGCCGGCCCAGGCTGGGGTCTGCCCGCGGCCGGCAGGTGGGGGTGGGCAGGGGAGGGGAGGACTCCGCCCGGGTCCGCCGCGCCAGCCTCGGGGGCACGGGCAGGGCGCGCACGGCGGGAGGCTCCCCGAGCGGCGTGCGCAGCTCGGCCGGCTTCTCCGCCCGCACTGGGCTCCTCTGGGTCCGCGCGCACGCTGCGCTGGCTGTGGGGTCTGCGGGAGCCGGCGGCACAGAGGGGCCCCCAGGCCTTGTCGGGCCGGCACCTGCCTGTGTGGCCCCCACCTCTCGCCAGTGCCTGACTGCACCCTCATTGCTGTCCACCCCAACTCAGTCCAACTCTCTCCGAACAGAGAAAACAGCACCGGAACTTCTAACGCGGGATTTAATACAAGGAGCTGATAGCACACGGCTCAGCAGGGCCCGGGTTGTGGTGCCTGCGGCGGGTTTCCGAGCGCCGGCGGGGGCCCTGCTGCTCCACTTCCCACCCAGCTCCCGGGAAATGCACCCACCTAGGAGCAGCAGGCGATGGCCCAGCGTGGGAGACCCGGATGGGGTTCTGGGTCTGACCACCGGGGCCGCTTGGGGACTGACCGCCCGGATGGAAGCACACTCTGTCTCTGTCACTCTGCCTTTCAAATTGATTAATTAACCTTTGAGAAATACGGCGGCAGCTGCCACCCCAGGACCCACACTGGTCCCCACAGGCCCAGTCTCCCCTCACGAGGTCCCTGCCACCACCACCATGGCCAGATGTCCAGGGGCGGACGCCAGGAGGAAGCCAGCAAGGGGCTGGCGAGCGGGAGCAGGGACAGCAAGGTGGTCCCCACGGGAGTTTGTCACCCGCAGCCCCGTCCCCGCCAGCCCAGGAGGCTGAGAGCAGGGTGAGGGCCACCCCCGCCCGGCTCCTTGTCTCAGGGATGGCAGCAGGGCCGGCGGGTGGGTATTTGGTGCAGCCGCTAGACGCCGCGTCCCTGGCACGGGGCCTGCTCTTGGGTATCCTGGGGGCCACAGGTGAAGGCTCAGGTACTTGGGTCCCTGCCCCCTTGAGCGAGGCCTGGCTCGAGCCCCCAGCGCCTGGCTATTGTGGGCAGGAGGCATAAACCAGGGGATGGATGATGTCTCCGTCCGTCATGAATTTTTAAAAACCCGACAAGTGGCAGCAGGTGTTGGTGGAGGCACCGGCCCCTCCAGGCCGTGCTGGTGCTGCTGCCCTGGGGAAGGGGGCCCTGGGCACGAGGACGGCCGGAGAGGCCAGAGGGGGTGCGCTGGACCCCGTTAGCTCAGTTCTGTCAGCAGAGAAGGGCAAGGGGAGGCGCCCTGCTCATGAGGCCGGGCCCTGGACAGAGCAGGGAGACAAAGCCTTGACATGGGCGCTGATGTTTGCACCCAGCCGGAAGACCCTCCCACGCTGCCCAGAGACCACCGCCCCTCCGGGAAGGGCCCCTGAGGGAGGGGTGTCAGTGGGGGCCGGGGCTACAGGAACACCCATGGCTGGGTGGGCTGGGTGCTGCGGGGAGGGGGGAGGGGCGGCAGCCAGGACAGCTGCAGGTGGGGCGAGGGGCGGGTCCTCCAGCCCCGCCTGGGGACACAGCCCCCCAGGCAGCAAGGGGCAGGGGCAGCCCTCCTCCCCCAGGCGCCACCCTCGCAGGGAAGGACCCCAAGGCCCCTCCGCCAGGTCAGGCAAACCCGGTTTTGGGGTCCTCGAGAGCTCTCAGCTCACTGCCCCCGCCCCTGCCTTGCACCCAGGCCTGGCCTCGATGCTCCCCCGGCCGGTGCCTGAGCCCGACTCCTCCTCCAGGAAGTTCCCCGTGCTGCGCCAGCTCTGCCGATGCTTGGGCTGAGGGTGCAGGCGGGGGCTGCGGGCACCCAGGCCTGGCGGTGTGGGCTGGGGCTCAGCGGGCGGGGGCCGTCTCCCCTGGGAGCTGGCTGGGCTCAGGGGCCTCTCTCTGTGGGCGGTCTCGGTGAATCACCCCTTCAGGGCAGCACAAACGCAGGAAGCTGCCATTCTCTGAAGCACTGTTTTCTCCCCCCGGGGGAAGGTGGGTCCCACGGAGGGCATTGTTCGTGGGCTGCTGCTTTCCGGGTGGGCTCCGCACAGGGTGAGCGGGCTGGGGCTCTGGGCTGAGCTGCTTCCCTTCGAGACCCAGGGGCGCCTGCACACTGGGAACGTGGGGCCTGGGCCCAGTCGCCAGCCTCAGGGCGACACCGCACGTCCACACGTCCACGGGCGGATGCTGGCAGAGCCTGGGTGGGGACCCCAGGAGGCAGGGCTGGAAGGATCCTGAATGGGCCAGGGCCAGGGTTCAGCACAGGTCCACGCACCAGGGCTCCCGCACCTGACAGCACCGCCCTCAGGCCAGCACCGTGAGATGACACACACCTAGAGGGGCGGTGCTGTGGCACAAGGGGTAAAGCCTGCAGTGTCAGCATCCTGTATGGGCTCCGGTTCGAGTCCCGGCTCCTCCTCTTCCGATCCAGCTCCCTGCAAATGCACCTGGGAAGGCAGCAGAAGTGCTTGGGCCCCTGCACCCGTGTGGGAGACCCGGAAGAAGTTCCTGGCTCCGGCCTGGCCTGGCTCCGGCCACTGCGGCCGTTTGGGGAGTGAGCAGGCAGATGGAAGACCCCTCTCTAACTCTGCCTCTCAAATCTTTAGAAAAAAGCAGCACCGTAAGTGTGCCGCCTTGAGTGGGCATTTGGTCTCGCCGGGAACCCCCGGTCAGGAGGTCTGCCCCGGGCTCCTGGCTGCTCCGGGCATCTGCGGAGTGAACCAGCGGGCAGCACCTCGCTCTAAGAGATACATGAAAACTTGCTATCTTAACTTTTATTATTGATTTCATTGGAGGGGAAATACATCACGCCAAATTCAAACAGCACTTAAAGGGGTCCGAGCACAAGTGCCCCCAACAGCAGGGCAGGGACCCAGCCCTGGGCCGGCCTCGGTCGCCCCTCAGCACACGCCCACAGCAGGACCTGGCTCGGCCCTCGGGACGCTGGGCGGCCGGGCGGGGCGGCGGCCGGTCCTGGACGAAGGCGCCATGGACTGCTTCCCAGTGTCCCTCCTTGCGACGACCTCTTGCCCTGACTCGGGTGGCCCAGGGCCGTCCTCCTGACCTAAGGGGTCAGCCCTGCTGTCCCAGGGCAGGCACCAAGCGAGGGCAGCGCAGCTGTTCACCCACAGCGACTGCAGGCCCGCGACCACCTGCCCACTGCAGAGCAGGACCCCAGGGCACAGCCCTGGCCAAGCCACAGCCCAGCGACACGGGGAGCAGGTGCAGGCCAAGGGTGCGGGCCTCAGCACCCATCTCACCGTGCACCTGCCCCGGCGTTCTGGGGAGGTCCCGCGGGCCCTCCACAGCCGGGTGTCAGCAGGTGGGGGCTTCCGGGAGCGGGGCCGCCCCACAGAGTGGCAGCTCCTCCGACAGGGCACAGGGGCAGAGGCCCGGCCCGGCCCGGCCAGCCCAGCCTCCCCGCCCGCAGCCCTTCTCGGCTCCTCGCGCCTCGCCCTGCTTCCAAAGGCTTCGTGCGGCCTCCACACGCCTCTCCGGGCAGCCAGGACCCTCCCACCTCGGCCTCGGTCATTCTCCCCCAGGGAGCCCCTGCCTCGGAGGACTGCCCGCCCCCGAACGGCCCCCAGGCGCGACGCAGCCGCCCCAGCCCCTCCCCGACCAGGACGCCCCACGGCCCGCCAGACCCGCGCGCTCCCTGCTCGCAGGCCACACCTGGCGCGCTACCTGGGGCCGCCGCCGCCGCCGCCGCCCGCGCGCCCGCCCCGCCCCGCCCGGGCGCACTGGGCATGCGCGGGGCGCGAGGACGCGCCCGCCGTTCCCAGCGGGCGAGGCCCCTTCGTGCGCCGGCCCCGGCCCGGGCCTGTCCCGCGCGCCGCCATGGAGCGCATCGAGGGAGCAGCCGTGGGCCCCTGCACCGCGTCGCCCTACCTGCAGCCGCTCACGCTGCACTACCGCCAGGTGAGCCCGCGCCGCCGCCGGCCCCGCACGGCCCCCGGCGCGCTCCCGCGCTTCCCGCCCCAGGCCCCGCGCCGCCCGCGAGGCCCCGCCTACCCCGGGCTCTGCGCGTGGGCCCCGCCCCGCCCGCGAGGCCCCGCCCACCCCGGGCTCTGCGCGTGGGCCCCGCCCCGCCCGCGAGGCCCCGCCCACCCCGGGCTCTGCGCGTGGGCCCCGCCCCGCCCGCGAGGTTAGCGGGGCAGGTGAACCGCGTCTGGCGCGGGTCCCCGCCTCCCTGCCCGGCCCAGACGTCCCTTTTTCGCCCTGGGACTCAGGTGCCCTGGGAGGTCGAAGAGGCTCCCCGGAGGCGGAGGGCTCGGCCCCGAGACTTGAAGGAGGAGGAGGAGGTGGACAGAGGGCGCTGGACAGGGGGCGTGGCAAGGTGGGCTTCCTCCCCAGGGGCTTCGCCGGGCGGGCGCCTCCCGGAGGCCCGGCCCCCGCCCAGGACGTGGCCTCGGCACCGCGCGGAGCAGGTTCACCGAAGATTCCCGCTGGACCACTGGGTCGCGGCGCCTTCTCCCGCCTCTCCCAGGGCCTCACCGCGCCCCCACCTCGCGCCGGCCGGCCCACCCGTCCCAGGGCCGCGCCTCCTGCCGGGCTCCTCCAGGCCCGGCGGAGACCCTCCCTGGGTGCAGGCCGGCCTCCAGTGCCCCCTCCCATCCAGGCTCCTGCCACTGTCCCTGCCGAGTTGGCAGCGCTGGTAGAGGGGCTGGTGGGGACGTGGGGGACAGGGTGCCTGCTGTGGCTGCACAGCCCCCGGAGCACCCGTCCCCACCCCGGGCTGTGCTGGCCAGCAGGGTCGCACTGGCGCAGGTGCAGGCCAGCAGGGACAGGGCTGGGGTGCCCAGGGAGCCAGGGCCGCAGAGGGAGCGGGCAGGGCAGGGCAGCCAGGGGGCCCTGGTGGGGGCCAGACAGCCCTGAGGAGGACGGGCCCACGTTTCCACCCCAGGCCCGTCCTCAGGGTGCTGTCGCCAGGGTCCTGCCCGTGGCTGGCGCACGGTGGCCGCTGGAGCTGGGCAGCCTCTGGCAGGTGTAGGTCCAGCCCCCTCCGAGAGGCCTCCCTGGGGGAGAGGGGGCCGGGGAGCGGCACAGCCCGCCCGCTGCAGGCCCCAGGACGGTGTCCAGCTGGTGGGTGCTGGCCCCACCGACCCAGGCCTTGCTAGAGCTGCTTTGGCTGCCCCAGCCCTCAGGGCCTGACCGAGGGCCCCAGACCTGTGTGGGTGACACCTAGGAGAGGCAGCTGCGGGGGGCAGCCTGGAGGGGCACGCCTTCCCCGAGCCGGCCCTGGTGTCAGGCAGGCCTGGGCTTGCCTGCCGGGTGGTGCCCAACGGCCTTCCACTGGAAACCAGGCTCAGCTGGGGCTGACTGCTCAGGCCCCCCATCCCCTCCCGTCACCTCCTCCAGGAAGTCCTCAGGAAGGCTGACCCTTGGCATCCTCCCTCTGCTGTCACCCCAGCTGTGCCTCCTGTCTCTGAGGCTCAGACCTCTGTCCATCTCAGGTCCCGGACAGAGCCCCAGGGTCCTGCTCTTGGCTGGCGCACAGTGGACCCAGTGGACCCTGGAGCTGGGCAACCTCAGGCTGGCCCCCGGTCCGGCCCCGTCAGCGGAGACCCTCTTGGGTGGGAGTGGGCCGGGGGAATGGCACTGTCTGCTGCGGACCCCAGGGTGGATGCTGGCCCCGGGAGCCCTGCCTTCTACCTGTTGGACCGGCTGCCGTGGGGAGTCCGGCCCCGGCCCCCTCGTTGAGCACTGCTCAGGCCCTCCTGGTAGCCCGGGCAGGGTGCAGGCTGGGGAGCAGGACCACGGAAGGCAAGAGGGGCTGCCCAGGGTGGAGGGGTCGGGTCTCCGAGCCCCGCAGGGCGAGCAGCCACCTCTGCCGTGGGATCCTGGTCTCTGCTCGGCCTGAGCTCCCTGCGCTGGAGCCCCGGGCCCTCTTGACCAGTGCAGGCCGCGGCCCCTCCCCAGACATCCCTCGTGGGAGCGGTGTGACGGGCCCGGCGGGCCGCCTCGGCAGTGGCAGCCCTCAGCCCGCCTCCCCACCGTCCCGTCTCTTTCAGAACGGCACCCAGAAGTCCTGGGACTTCATGAAGACCCACGACAGGTGAGAGCCCGCACTGGCCCGCCTCGGGAGCGGGCTCCGAGCCCCGCCCCCGCTCAGCCTCCAGTTTTCCTGTCCTGAGGGCTCGGTCGTAGGCCTGGTGGCTCAGCGGTAGTGGACGGGGCCTCTGGGAGCTGGGGGCGCCTCCTGGTGCCCTCGCCCGCATGTCTGGGGTGTGGGCTGTGCTGGCCCAGCTGCGCAGCGTGCCCGCCCCCGCCCTGCCAGCTGGCACAGGGAAGACCGGGTCCTGGCCTGATGCGTGAGCCCTGAGCTGTGTGGGCTCGGTCTCCCCATCTGAGCAAGGGGCCCGGGAGTGGGTGTGGGAGGCACGCTGGGCACGGGGAAGCCAGGAGGGCTGCTCCTGTGCTAGCCCCCCCCCCCCCCCCCCGCAGCGTGACCCTGCTCCTGTTCAACTCTTCCCGAAGGAGTCTGGTGTTGGTCAGGCAGTTCCGGCCAGGTGAGGCAGGCAGGGTGGGCTGGGGTGGGGCACCTCGGGCGCTCTGGGTGCTGTGGCTGCACCCCCCACACCCCCAGCTGTGTACGCAGGTGAGGTGGAGCGCCACTTCCCAGGGTCGCTGGCGGCTGTGGGCCGGGAGGGGCCCCGGGAGCTGCAGCCGGCGCTGCCCGGCGTGGCAGGGGTGACGGTGGAGCTGTGCGCCGGCCTCGTGGACCAGCCGGGGCTCTCGCTGGAGGAGGTGGCCTGCAAGGAGGCGTGGGAGGAGTGTGGCTACCGCCTGGCTCCCTCCAGCCTGCGCCGGGTGGCCACGTACAGGTGAGAAGGCCCACGCGGCTGGCCTCGGTGTGGCGCGCTGGGCGGGGATGGTCTGCCTGGCGAGGGTGGGCGTGCCAGCAGGTCGTGGAGCTGGGGGCGGGCTGCGCCTCAGATCCCAAGCCAAGCCGGAACCCAAGGGCTCGCGGGCTCCCGCGGCGTTCTGGGCCCGTGCCCCCAGCCTGCGGCCCCTGGCATGTGGGCCGGCTCCGGTGGCAGCTGCTGCCGACAGATGCCTCCACTTCCTGTGGGATTAAGCACCGGGGCTGGGGGTGGGTGACTCACAGCTCCGCGCTCAGGAATGAAGGAAAGGCCGGGGGGGGGGGGGGGTGCTCCAGGACTCTGGGAGGGGTGTGGCCTGGAGCCCCGCCCTCAGCACCTGCCCCCACCAAAGCCTGGGCCCACCCCCTAGGCTGGGACACTGCCATGAGGCCCGTACCCCCCCACCCCCCATGGACTTGGTGATGGTTCCCTCACTCCAGGTGGGGGGGCAGGAAGGGGGTCTCTGTGCCCCCCACCCAGCCTAACACCACCTGAACGAGGGCCGCTTTGGCCCGGAGGCAGGATTTCCACACCAAAGGGGCAGGCTGGTGGCCTGGGGGTGGGAGGCGGTGGGAGGGGCCGGGCCAGAGGGTCCTTCGTCTGGGTGAGGAGGGTGTGGCCATGAGGAGGCAGACCTGGGACGCCCTGCGCCGTCCACAGCCCCAGCGGGGAGCCAGACTGCTCACCTGCCCGTCACAGGTGACACGGCCCTGGAGCTCAAGGCACTGGTGTGGGAGCAGCCAGCCGAGGACAAGGCTGAGAGGACCCCCGGAGGGGTCACAGGCCGGGCCGTGGGAGGGGCCCCAGGGACAGGAGGCAAGGGAGCAGCGGGGGGCCCTTGGGGTGGGGAATGGAGGCCCCAGTTCCGCTTCCCCCCAGTGCTGGCACCCCTCCAAGGGCGCCCTCCCTCCAGGACGTCCCTTATGGCCCCCCTCTCAGGGCACTCCTGGCCCGCCTCCTGTTCCGGATTCTGGCGTGGCCGCTGCGCCACCCCATCCTCGTGGCCGCGGTCACCACTCGTGCGCACTGTTCGTGTCAGTTCCTCAGGCTGGGTGCCCATCCCCTGCTGGCCACTGCCTGCTGAGGGAGGGCTCCCTCCCTCTCCTCGCCAGCTTGTGACCAGGGGCTGGGCCCTCACTCCCCAGGGCACTCTGGGTCTCAGTCGCCTTCCGGCCAGCTCAGCAGTGACATCCCAGGTGCCCACCAGGGAGCCCTCACTGGTCCCACAGACTGTTCCTGTGTCCGTGGGTGCAGACCAGGGCCTGGCCTGGCCTGGCAGCCGGCACAGGACGCACTGCAGGTCGGAAGGAGCCCTGGCCGGGCCCCCAGCAGAGCGAGGGGCAGGGGCCTGCACGAGAACTCAAGCGCCCCTCGGTTTCTGAGGCTCAGGGTGGGCGTCTGGGGTCTTGCTCGGTGCAGGGTGCTTGCTGGCCGTCGGCCGGGGGCTTTGCTGTGAGCACGTGACGCTAAGCCCACCCAGGAAGGCCCCTCGTGATGAACCTGTGTCCTCATGCCCGCTGTGTGTGGCGTGATGCCCCCACCAGGGATCAGGGCTCAGTAGACCCTGTCTCGGCCGCAGGTCTGGGGTGGGGCTGACTGGCTCCTGCCAGACCATGTTCTACGCGGAGGTGACCGACGCCCAGCGCAGCGGCCCAGGCGGGGGCCTGGCGGACGAGGGCGAGCTCATCGAAGTGGTGCACCTGCCCCTGGAAGGGGCCCAGGCCTTCGTGGACGACCCGGACATCCCCAAGACGTTGGGCGTCATCTTTGGCATCTCTTGGTTCCTCAGCCATGTGGCCCCGACCTGGGTGTCCAGTGAGGCCCGCTGCCCCACCCCCCAGCCCCAATAAAAGCTTGACGGCTCTGGTGCCTCTGTCCGCTGGCTCCGAGCTCTGTAGCCTAGGCCAACGCAGTGAGGACTGGGGAGGGGCAGGGGACGGTGGGCCTTCCCTGTGAGCCCCCAGCTCCACTGGCCGCAGGCCATGCAGTGGGCACTCTGAGTCCGGCCAGGGCGGGCCAGAGAGGAGCGGTGGCCCAGGGCTCTGCCGGGCTGGATGCCGAGGGAGGGCAGTGCAGCAGGACAGGCCTGGGCCCTGGAGTGGACGTTGTCCCCGGGAGGGGGTGGCCGACCCTGAGGCTCGAGATCCGGTGGGGCCTGCAGCAGGCTGCACGTTCCTGGGAGGGGCCCAAGTTGGCCTGGTCTAGGGGCCCCAGGGCCTCCCCGAGCCCCCTCCGGAACCTCACTCAGCCTGCGGAGCACCGGCCAGCGTCTGCGGTCTGCCTGCCCGAGAGAGCCGTGTGCAAAGCTACCCATCCTGGCCCAGGCCGCCAGCGTGAGGGGCTCTGCCAGCCTGCCTGATGTGGCCGGCGAACCCCAGAAGACCCCTCCCATGCAAACAGCTGGCTTTGCCTTCTGCCTGCCCGGGGGTTGGGCTGTGTGAGATGCAGGCAGCTCAGAGCTGCACTTGGGCTTTCTGGGGTGCCCAGCCCCTGCCCACCCAGCACAGGCTGCAGACACGGTCAGCGGGCGCGTGGAGTGTGCATTCCAGGGCTCTGACCCAGCCTGAGGCTTCCTGCCCTTTGCCAGGTCAGCCCTTCGGGCAGTGCCCCAGGGGATGCCAGCCCCAGTGGGAGCTGGAGTGACCGGCAGCTTTGCTGTGAATCTGACTTCCTGCTCTTGTCCCCTTGTCCCTTTGGGTAGGGCCCCCCGCAGCCCCTGGTTCCTGCTGAGACCGAGGGGGTGCCTATGCTGCCCCCCAGGGCGGTTCCCTAGCTGAGCATGGAGGAGCATCCGGCCCCTCAGCACAGTGCTGGACAGCCTTTGTGTGGGTGGCCCTGAGGAGGCCTGCCCAGGAGTACCACCTGTATGCAAATGCTGGCTGCTTGGCCCAGGTGGGGCTGTGCACGTGGGAAGTGACCGTGCTCTCGGGCTGGGCCACTCGAGTGGGGTGGGGCGGCCAGCCCCGGCAGGCCACCGTCCCCATAGCCCTTGGTCTGCCTCACCCGCTTGCAGCCTGCCTGGTGCCCACCATGAGAGCTGCCCCGGGCCTCCCGGGTTCACCTGCAGGTCCTGTCCACTGCCTCCAAGAGGCTCTGGCAGAGCCTGGGGAGGGTGTTGGGTGGGCGGATGGGGGCAGGGCACCTGGGCTCGGGTGCAGTCCCGCCCCCGGCTCTGCCCTGCAGCCCACGGGGCTGGTCAGCAGGCATTGCTGCCGGGCCTAATGGAGCTGGCATCGATTTCCCGGCATGGTGGGGGGGGCTGTAACCGGAAACTCCCCTCCCTGGCCGCTATATTTAGCACCACTGGACTCCGGCGGAAGCACAGCTTACTCCAAGCACAGCCGGCTGTCCAAACCCTGGGCAGCCTGGTCCCAGGCGTGCCCTGTGGGGCCTGAACCCCATGGCCAGGCGTCTGCAGCTAGCACCCGCCTCTGCCTGCCTGTGCTGGGGGCTCGGGTGCCCCAGCCCAGCAGCCCTCAGGACAGTGAGGGGGCCTTCCTGGAAGAGGGTGCAGCCTGGCCCTGGAGACAGATGTGTGGGCAGCGTTCCCAATGCCGCTTCCTGGGAGTGCCCACGTGGGGTCCAGTCGTCCCTGGCACTGCTGGCCCAAGGGCTACAGACATCCCTTCAGGGTGGGGAGGGTGGGGACGGCCACCTTCCCCACCTTGCACCCATGCTGGACACCACGCGGGACTGGAGAGGAGGGAGCTGGGAGAGGGTGCCACCCACTGCCCCAGGGACCCAGTCCCCTCCCAAAGGACTGGGAGGGGTGGAGTGAGCAGCTGTCACTCAGCCACGAGCCCCCCACCCCCGGCTGGCCCAGGGCAGGAAACCTGGGAGGTGGACAAGGGAGGGCACAGGGGAGCCCCTGGATTTGGCTCTCACCTGGGCTGGAATTCCCCTCCCCAGCCCTGCGCTGCTAGGCCCTGGCCCGGCCCCCAGCCCCTCCCCTGCCTGCAGCCAGGGGTCTCCAGGAACGTGTCACCAGCTTGCTGTGACAATGGTCTTGCAGCAAGACCAGGCCTGGCCACCGCGCCCCTCCCTGGGCTGGGCTCCTGAGTCCCACCGCAGGCTGCGGGCCTGGGCCTGGCCTGGCCAGCCTGCGCCCTCCCCATCTTGGGCTAGGGATCCCCATCTTGGCCCAGTCTGCCTGGGATGAGGCCAGTTGCTTCTAGAGGGTGGGCGGGGCTGCGTCCACCTGGGGACTGATTCGGGCGGCAGGGGCGGCACCACAGGTCCTGAAACCCACCCCCACAGCACCTTTGACTTGGTGGTGGAGGTCTTGTGTGTGGCGGCACCCACCCTCCAGCCTCAGGGCCCACAGGGGCTCTGCTGGGTGGGCGCTCCCTGGGGCAGCAGAGCCGAGGGGTGGGCATCGGGGGGTCCTGGGTCGTGGGGACGGGGCAGCAGTAAGGGGATTGCTGCTGACTCCTGCCACACCTCCAACCCCAAAGTCCTCCTCTGCCGGGGCCTTCCAGAGTCCCCCCTGCCCTCGCCACGGACACCTGCCCAGGAGGGGCCGCACTGCCTGCAGAGGGACGGCCCGCAGGGCGTCTGGAGCCGAACCGCTAACCCGGGTGGGGGTCTCTGACCACCAAGGAGGCCTCTGAGCTCCGTCCTGGAACAAACCTGCTCTCCGGAGGAGGGGCCCTTGGGGGACCCCGAGGGAGGGGGACGGCATTAGGTGGGGGCCGCGGTGCTCTCCGGGACGCCACCCCCGGCCTGGGGCCCCGACCCCCGCAGCAGCGTTTGTACAGTAGCGGCTGCGCCGGCGCCTAGAGGAAGGCAAGGCAGCGGCGAGCCGCGCGGGGCGAGCGTCGGAGGGGAGCAGCGCCCCCTGCAGCCGGCGCGGGGCGGGGGCGAGTCTTCGGGGAGGGGGCGCGCAGGAGGGGCCGGGCCGCGCGCGGAGCCGACCCCCCGCCCCGCGCCGGCTGTGAGCAGAAGGCGGTGTCTCCCCCGGGAGCCAGGAGCGCGGCAGAGGCGCACGGATGGGAGGGGACCGCGGCGGTGACCCCGGGGGGGCGCCCCACCCCCGGCTCCTGACACCCGGCGGGAACGCGGGCCGGGGCGAGGCCGTGTGCGGCGCCGGGAGCGGGCGGGGGCGCGCGGGCGGCCCCGCTGACCTCGCAGCCCTGCGCCCCCGCCGCCTGGGCGCTGCCGGGCGGCGCCCTCCGCCGCCTTCAAAGCCAGGGGCGCCCCCGGCAGCCCCCCCGCGGCCCCACCCCACGGCGCGGCCCCTCCCCCTCATGCATATGCAGGTGCGCGGGTGACGAATGGGCGAGCGAGCTGTCAGTCTCGTCCCGAACTTGTTGGCTGCGGTGCCGGGAACGCGGGCGCGCAGAGCCGAGGCCGGGACTCGCCGCCGCCGCCGCCGCCGCCGCCGCCGGGTGGGAGCCGGGCCGGGCCGCCGAGCGCGGCCGCCAGCGAGCCGGAGCCGCCGCCGCCGCCGCCCCCCGCCGCCCAGGCCCGCGCGCGGCGCGGCGCTCGACCCCGCCCGCGCCGCCGCCGCCCCTCCGCTGCCGCGCTCGGAGGCGGGCGCGCGGGCGGGCGCAGGGAGGCCGGCGCGGCGGCCCGGACCGGGCGCAGGCGGCGGCGGCGGCGGCGGCGGCGGCGGGGTCGAGGCGGCGATGCGGGTGCGCGGCCGGGGGCGACTGCCCCGGCGGCTGCTGCTGCTGCTGGCGCTCTGCGTGCAGGTGAGCGGGGCGCGGCGGCGCGGGCGCGGACGGGGCGCACCGGGCCGCCCCTCGGGGCGCAGCCTCGGGGGGAGCCCCAGCGGCTGCGCGCCGCGGTGGGGCCCGTTCCCCCGGCGCGCGACCCCGGCCCGCGCCTCCCTCGCTCCCCGCTGCCTTATTTTTAGGCGGCGCGGCCCATGGGCTATTTCGAGCTGCAGCTGAGCGCGCTGCGGAACGCGAACGGGGAGCTGCGGAGCGGCGCCTGCTGTGACGGCGACGGCCGGACGACGCGCGCGGGGGGCTGCGGCCGGGACGAGTGCGACACGTACGTGCGCGTGTGCCTGAAGGAGTACCAGGCCAAGGTGACGCCCACGGGGCCCTGCAACTACGGCCACGGCGCCACGCCCGTGCTGGGCGGCAACTCCTTCTACCTGCCGCCGGCGGGCGCTGCGGGGGACCGAGCGCGCGCGCGGGCCCGGGCCAGCGGCGACCAGGAGCCGGGCCTCGTCGTCATCCCCTTCCAGTTCGCCTGGCCGGTACGTGCGCCCTCTCCCCCGCGTCGCGTCCTCCTTCTCCCCCGCCGCCGCCGCTCCAGCACCTGCGGCCCGGCCCGGCGCGGGCCCAGACGGGGCGGGGCCTGCAGGGGGCGCCGCGCCGCGGGCCGCGGGGGCGCGTGCTTCGTGGGCCTGGGGCGAGCCGGGCCACGTGGGCGCGCGGGGTCGCGGCGGGGCGGGGCGGCGGCCCCTGGCGTGTGCCTGCGTCGCCCCGCGCGTGTCTGTCTGGGCGGGGAGGCGCGCGAGGCCCCGGGCGAGGCATGTGCACCGCGCGTGCTGGGGCCGGCCCCGGGCAGGTCCTGGCGCAGCCGTCCCGGGCCCGGGGCCTGTGCCCGCCCTGCAGTTCCGTGGATTGGGGTGGGGGAGGCTTAGGACCTGGGCCCGGGAAGGTCTGGTCCCTGCTGGCCAAGGTGTCCATGGCTGGGCCCAGATCCCCCAGGGCGAGAGTGGCTGGGCCCCGTCGGCGGGGCCCTCTGAGTCGCCCGTGTGACTTTCCCTCTTTGAGGGGGGCAGGGGTGGTGTAGGGTCTTGGCTCGGAGGCCGCCGCGGGTGCTGCGGGGTTGCGGGTACCTGGGTCTGTTCTGAGATTTTTCCCTGCTGGGTGTTGAAGGCCTGCGGCTGGGTGGGGGCACGGGTAGGGGGCAGGAGGCCCTTCTGACCTGGCCTGTGGGCCGCACAGGAGTGGCCAGCCGGGCATCCTGGTCCTGGCGGAGACTGGGCCTGGCGGCCGGGCCAAGGGCTTTGGGCACCCTGGTACAGCTTCTCTTAAGCTGGCCGGACAGCCTTGCTCCTGCCCCTGCCCACCCTGAGTGCCCGGCCTGGTGCCCCCTGACCCCGCGCCCCCTGTGCTGGAGCGGGGAGGGACCAGGCAGTTAGGGGAGGGCAGGCCCTCGCCCCCGCGGCTCTGCGGGCAGGCCCGAGCAGGGCCCAAGCCTGTCATCAGGCGGCGAGGCTCCAAATCGCTACCTGGGGATGTGTTTTCTGCTGGAGCTGGCAGCAGTGGGCGTGGGGGCAGGGAGGCCCTGGAGGAATGTGGCGGCTGCGCGGCGGGGGACGGGACGGGGCAGGCCCCTGCCTTCCTTGGAGGCCGGGCGATGGGTCCCCGGGCAGCCCCGGGAGGGGGGGCGGGGCCGTGGGGAAAGCAAGTCTGGGGGCAGCTCCGGTTCCCTCCTCCCCTCGAGCCGGTGATGCCAACACCCTGGTATTTCCGCCCCGTCCGAAGCAGCCTCGCGGCCATGCCGCCCTGGTTTGCCGAGGGTCCGGCTCCATCCCACAGGCTGGGGCCCGTTTGGAACCCAGGTGCCGAGACCGCAGGAGCAGAAACTGTCCAGGTGCCCTGGGGACCAGGCTGCGGCCTCAGCCCAGAGAGCGGGCACCGGTCCTGCCGGGGCCCAGCTCCGACTCACGGGCTCCCCAGGGAAGAGCAGGGTCGTGAGCAAGGGAGCCTGGGCCCCTCCCGCCCCCTGGCCCCCTGGCCCCCACTCCCACCCACAGTCTCGGCCGGCTGGGCCCTCTGCCCTCATGGGCTGGGATCTCTGGAGTGTACGTGTCGTGGCTCTTTGTTGGAGTCCGGCTTGGCCCCCTGAGTGGGCAGGCTCAGGGTCTCGCAGGCCATCCTCCGGGCAGTGGCTGCCCTTCCTCTCCAGGCCCCGGCGTCCGGGGGGTCCGGGGGGTCCAGGGGGCTGAAGGAAGGGCCCCACGGGGGGAGGAGGAACTTTCCCTTGGGTCTGCTGTGTGGCGGGTTCTGGTACAGCAGCTGGCTGTGACCTGGGCAACCAGGGCTCTGCCCAGAGGGAGAGGAGCTGGGCCCACCCTCTGCTGCCTGTGAGCCCCGCCCGCCCGGGGTCTGGCGCGTCTCCCTGACCCGTGGCTGAGGGCTCCAGAGCATGCCAGTCCCGTGCCTTCTGTGAGGTGGGGGTGGGCTGCCCATGGGGCTGTGCTCAGGGTGGTAGGGGAGGGGCCTGGCGGGCGTGGACAGAGCTGCCCCAGCTTTGGGGCCGCAGGCTGCCAAGGCGTCCACCTGCCTTCACTGGCTCAGCCGTGTGAGCCCCCGGTCCAAGGTGGAGATGGGGTCTGGATAGGATGAGCTGGCCAGCGGGACAGCGCTCGGGAGGCAGGCTGGGGCCAGGGCTGGTGGGGGGAGGCTGGATGTCTCATCCCGGGCCACGCTGGTCCTTCTCCCGGGAGCCCACTTAGGTCCCTGTGAGGAGATGCTGGGGGCCGGGGAGGCTGCGCGCCGGGCCAGGCCCTGGCCGATGTCTGCAGCCCGCATGCAGGGTCCCCGCTGCTCCCGGTGTGGCCCTGGGGGCTGTTCCTCTGCCTCCGGTGACAATGGCGCAGCGGCCTGGGCCTCTCCTATCGGGTTTCAGGAAATGCATCTGCCCCGCTGGGGGGCTGGGCCTGGACGCTGGGGAGGGCGTGAGTGGGGCCGCTCACTCCTGCCTGCTGGGTGTCTTTGGCCTGCTGCCCCCGCAAGCAGGTGGAGCGCAGCTTGCAGAGACGGTGGGGTGGTCGGGAGGCCCCTCACTTCCCTCATGCTCTGTGGGGACTCCGCTGACAGACTCGGTCCTAGGCCGCAGCCACCTGGCAGGAGGCGGCCTGGGTCCTGCAGCCGGCCCGGCGGGGTGCTGGACGACCTGGCAGGTGGGCGAGGGGTGCAGGTGTGCCCCACCCACTGGCTCAGGTTGCCTCTGGGTGACTTCCTGCCGTCCAGGTGCAGGGAGCCCAGCTGGCGGGCGGGCAGGCGCACGTCCCCGCGGGAGCAGGTAACCGGAGCCCTGGGCCTGGGTGAAGGTGGCAGTAATCCTACCTGGGCAGCTGGCGGGGGTTTCCTGGGAGCCAGGAGGAGCTCCCTGCTCGCCCTGAAGCCCGGGTGTGGTTGCCGAGAGGCCGAGGTCGGCCGGGCTCCTGTCTGCCCGCCCTGTGGCCAGAGCGGCCGAGCCCTGGCTGGTGGTCTCAGCCTCCAGGCCCCGCTCTGGCCCTAGTGGCTGTTAACCCCCCCAGCAGCCACCTGTTTTGCTGACTGGGTGACAAGGTCTGGGCGGGGGTCTGTGACCCTCCTCCAGTGCCCCTGTCCCTGTCCGCAGCTCCGGGGCTCCCTGCTGGCCCCCGTGCCACCTTCCGGGAAAGCTTGGACGCTTCCTCCCCCCGTGCTGAGGCTGAGGGCTCCCAGTGGCCGAGATGCTGTGTGCTCAGTGTGTGGCCCAGTGAAGGAGTGGACAAGTGGGGTCTGGGAAAGAGCCAGGGCCTGGGGGGGGGCAGGTGGGCAGGGCTTTAGGAGTGCCCGCCCAGCCCTGAGCCTTGGGGCAGCTGCCCTGGCTCGGTTCTGGGTATGGTACTGTGGACAGCTGGGAGGGGCCCCCGGGGGAGGTGGGTGGCAGGGGGCCTGGGTTTAGGGAGACATGTTGAGAGCCCCAGGGTGCTGGGTGCTGGGGACCCCCACTTGTAGCCTGGTTCCTGGCTGCATGTGGGTCCCAGGATGCCCATTTGAGGGGCAGTAGGCATGGGGTGGGGGCCTGGCAGAGGGTCCCGGGCTGGGAGTAGCGTGCAGAGCTGTGAATGTGCTTGGGCAGGGAGGGGCTGGTGGGACCACCAGCTTTCCAGGAGGCCCTGGCGAAGGCCAGCCCTGTCTCGGGCCAGCTGTGGCCCAGGGTGGCCGGGTGGGGGCCCTCGCGTTCCCCTGCACGGCTAGGATACAGGGGCTGCAAGGGGGGCACTGAGGGCCAGGAGCGTGGCCCCTGGGGCCCTGCGCTGCAGGGGTGGGGGTGGCTGTGTCACCGCATCCCATGGCCTAGGGGCCCCGGGCCAGACCATCCTGGGAGGGGCGGCCACTGGAGCGGAGGCGGTGCTGGCCTCTTGGTCCTCAGTTCCACCCCGCCCCCAGCCCTGGTTCCTAGCCCGAGGGTGGAGGCAGGTGTGTGGGCTTCACCTGTCCAGGCTTCTCAATGGCAGCCTCCACGCACCTGGCGGCAGGGAGGGCCTAACCCTAACCCTGCATCCTGCATTCCCTCTGGTGGGTCAGACCCCTGTGAAGCGCCAGGGGACACCCCCTGGAAACACTGGGGACCCGGGCTGCCCACTGGGCCCTGTCTGTGCCACCCAGCTCCATGGCTCTCCCTTCCGTCCGTGCTGGCTTGAACCAGCTCAGGGCAGGCTGCACAGGGGCCTCAGGGGCCCCAGATGAGGAGCTCAGCCTCTGAGCCTCCAAGGGGCACTGCTGAGGAGGAGCATGGGGGGTCCTCGGATGGAGCAGAGGGGTGGGGGCCTCTGATGGAGCGGGGGGAGGTGGGGTGGGCCTCAGATGGAGCAGAGGGGGCGGGGGTCCTCAGATGGAGCGGGGGGGGGTGCGGTCCTTGGGTAGAGCAGAGGAGGTGGGGAGGCCCTCGGATGGAGCAGCGGGGTGGGGTTCTCGGATGGCGCAGAGGGGTGGGGTGGGGTCCTCGGATGGAGCGGGGGGAGGTGGGGTGGGCCTCAGATGGAGCAAGGGGGCAGGGGTCCTCGGATGGAGCAGAGGGGTGGGGTGGGGTCCTCGGATGGAGCAGAGGGGTGGTTGGGGTCCTCGGATGGAGCAGAGAGGTAGGGGTGGGGTCCTCGGATGGAGCAGAGGGGTGGGTTGGGGTCCTCGGATGGAGCAGAGGGGTGGGGGTGGGGTCCTCAGGTAGAGCAGAGGGGTGGGTTAGGGTCCTCGGATGGTGCGGGGGGGGAGGTGGTGTGGGCCTCAGATGGAGCAGAGTGGGTGGGAGGCCCTCGGATGGAGCAGAGGGGGGGGGGTGGGGTCCTCGGGTAGAGCAGTGGGGAGGTCCTCGGATGGAGCAGGGGGGGCTCCTCGGATGGAGCAGAGGGGTGGGGGGGTCCTGGGGTGGAGCAGCGGGGGGGGTCCTCGGATGGAGCAGAGGGGGTGGGGGCGGGGTTCTCGGATGGAGCAGAGGGGGTGGGGGTGGGGTCATCAATGGAGCGGGGGGGTCCTCGGGTAGAGCAGCCGGGGGGGGGGTCCTCGGATGGAGCAGAGGGGTGGTGGGGGGTCCTCGGATGGAGCAGAGGGGTGGGGGCGGGGTCCTCGGGTGGAGCAGCGGGGTGGGGGCGGGGTCCTTGGATGGAGCAGAGGGGTGGGGGGGGTCCTCGGATGGAGCAGAGGGGTGGGGGCGGGGTCCTCGGGTGGAGCAGCGGGGTGGGGGCGGGGTCCTCGGATGGAGCAGAGGGGTGGTGGGGGGTCCTCGGATGGAGCAGAGGGGTGGGGGCGGGGTCCTCGGATGGAGCAGAGGGGTGGGGGCGGGGTCCTTGGATGGAGCAGAGGGGTGGCGGGGGTCCTCGGGTGGAACAGCGGGGTGGGGGCGGGGTCCTCAGATGGAACAGAGGGGTGGGGGGTCCTTGCATCGGGCCGGAGGGCCCGGGGCTGTGCTGGGCGCACCTGCAGGCCGCTGACCGCGCCTCCTGTCCTCAGCGCTCCTTCACCCTGATTGTGGAAGCCTGGGACTGGGACAACGAGACCACCCCCGATGGTGAGTGAGCTCTGGGCGGGGGCGCCCCTGTCAGGGGCCTCGGGGACGAGGGTCTCCTGTGCCCGGGAAGCGTCCTCTGCCCAGAGGGTTGCGTGAGAGGTCCCGCGATGCCCGGGCTCCCTGGTGGCGGTGCTGGACTGAGCTACGCACCAGGCAGGAGCAGCGTCTCCTGTCACTCTGCCGCTGGCCCTGTCAGGGACGCAGGGCTGGGCCCCTCCCCTGGTGGACCCTGCCCCAGGCTCCCCAGCTGCTGCCCCTGCTGGGGTCTGCAGGGCCCTGGGCCAGCAAAGGCAGGGAGTGTCCTGCCCCGTGGGCCCCGAGGCTATGCAGAGCCTGCTCTCTGGGGATGCTGGTGGGGTGGGGGCTGGAGCTGTGGGGCACACAGGGTCGTGCCAGGCAGAAGCAGAGGGGCCAGAGTTCTCTGGGGAGGGGCTGGCGCCAGGCCAGAGCAGGGCCCCGGGGGGGGGCTCTTGGGGGGGGGTGTTGCTGAGTCTTCACCGTGGAGAACCTGTCCTGGCGTCACCGGGGCTTCTGCGAAGGCAGGGCCCAACCAGGCGGTTACCGGGGCCACACCGGGCTTCAGGGGTTCCGGGATACCAGGGCTGGCCACGCCGCGCTGTGGGCAGGCAGCTGGCACCCAGACCTTCCCGGCAGAGCCCAGGGCCTGGCTCCCGCCCCAGCCGGGCCTCCCCTGGGCCCAGCATCCCGGCCAGCGTCCCTGCGTCCCGCTGTGCCCGGCCCCTACAGAGTCCGCGGCGGGGGGGCGGCGGCCGCCACTGACTCTGCCGCCCCCCAGAGGAGCTGCTGATCGAGCGGGTGTCGCACGCCGGCATGATCAACCCCGAGGACCGCTGGAAGAGCCTGCACTTCAGCGGGCACGTGGCCCAGCTGGAGCTGCAGATCCGCGTGCGCTGTGACGACAACTACTACAGCGCCACCTGCAACAAGTTCTGCCGGCCCCGCGACGACTTCTTCGGCCACTACGGCTGCGACCAGTACGGCAACAAGGCCTGCATGGACGGCTGGATGGGCAAGGAGTGCAAGGAAGGTGAGGGCCTGCGGCGGGCGGCGGCGCCCAGCCCCCCGGGCCGCGGCGAGCCTCTCTCTGCTCCTCTGTTCGCAGCTGTGTGTAAACAAGGGTGTAATCTGCTCCACGGGGGATGCGCTGTGCCTGGGGAGTGCAGGTGAGTCCCGCGCCGCCCTCACCCCTGCCCGGCGCCTGGCGTCCTCTGAGCGCGGGGCGTGTCCGGCAGCCAGCGGTCAGCCCACCGGAGAGCAGAGGCCTGCAGGCCGGAAGCCACTGGCAGTGTCTGCGGCGTGGGGCGGCCTGTGGACTGGCCGGTGGGCTGGACGCAGGGGTGGGGGGCCAGGAAGGACCCTGAGCAGTGGAGGAGGCAGGGGTGGTGGGCAGGTGGGATGGGGCCGAGGGCCACCCCCTGGGGACAGCAGAGTGAGGTCCGTGGTCCTGGCACGCGTCAGGGGGACGTGGGCCAGGGAGATCCCAGCCTCCGGCAGGTAAGCGGACGGGTGGTGTACAGCTGAGCAGGGGAGCAGCTGGGGCCAGAGGAGACCAGGAGATGGGGAACCTGGCAGCTGGGGGTTGGGGGTCAGCTGGTGGGAAAAAAAGGCCAGGGGCTGCCCCTCTGCCCAGTGGAGCAGAGGCCTGAAAACGGGCAGCCGGAGATGCAGGGGCCAAGGTTTGGAGCAGGGCATGGCCTGGCCCTGGGTGGGCCTCCGGGAGCCACATCCAGGGTGGGAGACGTGGTTATGGGGCCAAGAAGGCCCAGTCCCTGGGGTGGGCCGTCTGGCCTGTGTGCTGGGAGCAGGCCCCGGCACAGGAGCTGCGGCAGGAGAGCCGGGCAGCCTGGAGGGGGTGGACGGCTGCCGGGCTACCTGCGGGGAGGCCAGGGGCAGGAAGCCTGGCGGTGGCCCCGGCGGCCGCCTCCAGCAGCGCTGGGCCTGTGTTTCGGGGGCAGTGCCCCCCCACCGGATGCTGATGCAGAGAGGAGATGGCCGGGCCTTCCTGCTGCCCTCCCAGGGCCTCTGGAGCTGCTGGGCTGGGGGCCGTGGCAGGGCTGCCCCACCCAGGGCTGGGAGCACACCCCTGGGACCCCCGAGGTCTGGGCTCTGAGCCCGGCTGTGGCGCTCCCTGGCGGTGACCTGAGGCGTCACAGCCCCACCCTGAGCCTGTGTCCCTGTCACCTGGAGGGGGATTCCCCGTGGGGATGTAAGGTGGGGGCCCTGAGCGTCTGGGCTGGACCCAGCCTTGGCTTCCCCCATCCCAAGCCAGGGTGAGCTGGGCCCAGGGCTGGTGCCGGCCGCGGTGCCGGCCACGATGCTGGCTGCGTGGCCCCGGGCGGCTCAGGAAGGGAAGGGCCCTGGCTCTTTCCTTTTACAAAAATAAACCCGGGTGGTGGGTGCCGGTGTGGAAGTGACGCGGCCTGGACGTCGGTGCCGTCCACAGGGCGTCAGCCTTCGGGAAGGGGTCCCTGGAGCCCTATGTGGGCCTGGCAGGCAGCCAGCGAGCCCTGGGGTGTCCCTGGGGGACCCCAGGCTCTCCCCTTTGGGGCCACTGGCCCAACTCCACGACTTCCAGAGGGGACGCCGGCTGGCACGCAGGGCAGAGCCAGGCCTAGGGGCCATGGCGCCCCTGGGGGCCATTTTTCAGGCGGCCCCCGCCCCAGGCTGCCCTTGTGCTGAGGTGAGGTCCTGTACCGTGGCCTGGGTCACACGACCAGGGTGGGGCTCAGGCCCTCCCGATAGCCTGCTGGGCTGCCTGGCCAGGTGGCCCTGGCGTGTCCACACTGTGCTTGCTCCCTGGGGTCCCTGCAGGGCCTTCCTTCCCCGGCGCCTGCTCCTGGGGCCCAGCTCGGGGGGAGTCCCAAAATAGCTCGGGGAGGAGTGACGGGACAGCTGGGCTGACCAGCCTCGGCCAGTGGCCGGGAATGCCTGTGACCGCGGGGCCGGCCGGCGGGGCCTTCCCCCCGTGGGGCTCACCAGGCCCCGCCCCGGCCCCCAGGTGCAGCTACGGCTGGCAGGGGCGGTTCTGTGACGAGTGCGTCCCCTACCCTGGCTGCCTGCACGGCAGCTGTGTGGAGCCCTGGCAGTGCAACTGTGAGACCAACTGGGGCGGCCTGCTGTGTGACAAAGGTAGCGGGGGCGGGGGCGGCCTGCTGTGCGACAAAGGTAGCGGGGGGCGGGGGGCCGGGCTGTGGCCCTGAGCGTCACTCCGTCCCCAGACCTGAACTACTGCGGCAGCCACCACCCCTGCACCAACGGGGGCACCTGCATCAATGCGGAGCCCAACCAGTACCACTGCACCTGCCCCGAGGGCTACACGGGCAAGAACTGCGAGCGGGGTATGACGGGGCCCCGTGACCCGGCACCCCCCACCTTGTGACCCCACTCTGTGACCCGGCACCCCCACCCGTGACCCCGGCACCCCCCCAATCTATGACCCAGCACCCTGCCCGTGACCCCAGCACCTCTGCGCTGTGAATCCGGCACCCCGCACCCTGTGACCCTGGCACCCCCCACCCTGTGACCCTGGCATCTCTTGCCCTGTCACCCTGTACCATGACCCTGGCACCCTCACCCTGTGACCCCACTCTGTGACCCCGTGACCCCCACCCTGTAACCCCGGCCCCCGTGACCTGGCCCTGTGACCCTGGCACACCCATCTTGTGACCCAGCACCCCTGCTGTGACCCCAGCACCCCTGGCGTTGGGGGCTCGTGGGTCAGGGAGGAGGGGCAGCTGCATCCCCCCACCTTCCCCTGCTCTGGTTCTTAGCGGAACACGCCTGTGCCTCCAACCCGTGTGCCAATGGGGGCTCCTGCCACGAGGTGCCGTCCGGCTTCGAGTGCCAGTGCCCATCGGGCTGGAGCGGGCCCACCTGTGCCGTGGGTGAGTGCTGGGCCCTTGTTTGGGGGCTTGGCCTGGCACCTGAGGGCTCTGGGGAGGGGCCGGTCTGGCCCAGGGACGGGCGGCACGAGACCCTGCGCGTGGTCCTGCTTCTGGTGGGGGACCCGTGTGGGAGCCAGGCTCTCCCCTTGGCCATGCCATGGGCCAGACTGCCACGCCCCCGGCCACAGCCTCTGGTCTCTGTCCACAGACATTGATGAATGTGCCTCGAACCCATGTGCGGCGGGTGGCACCTGTGTGGACCGAGTGGACGGCTTTGAGTGCATCTGCCCGGAGCAGTGGGTGGGGGCCACCTGCCAGCTGGGTAAGGGGTCCCGGGGCCGCGTGTGCATGCATGCAGGCTGCTGCGGGCGCCACGCGTGGGGCTGCGGGGCTGCGGGGCCGCGTGTGCATGTTTGTGGGCTGCTGCGGGGCTGCGGGCGCCACGCACGGGGCATGGGGCCCGGGGCTGGCCCACGGCTCCCCAGCTGCCCTTGTCTCGTCCACAGACGCCAATGAGTGTGAAGGGCGGCCTTGCCTTAACGCTTTGTCTTGCAAAAACCTGATTGGCGGCTATTACTGCGATTGCCTCCCGGGCTGGACGGGCGCCAACTGCCACATCAGTCAGTATGGGGGGGGGGCCGGGGCGGGGCTGGGGCGCGCAGGGCAGCCCGACACCCACTCCTGTGCCCTAGACGTGAATGACTGCCACGGCCAGTGTCAGCACGGCGGCACCTGCAAGGTGAGCGGGGGGGGGGGGTCCCGGGAGGAGGGGACAGTGGGGGGGCCTGGGACCAGGGGCAGGGGGCCAGCGGGGTCCCGGGAGGAGGGGGCAGTGGGGGGCCCTGGGACCAGGGGCAGGGGGCCAGCGGGGTCCCGGGAGGAGGGGGCAGTGGGAGGCCCTGGGACCAGGGGCAGGGGGCCAGCGGGGGCCCGGGAGGAGGGGGCAGTGGGGGGCCCTGGGACCAGGGGCAGGGGGCCAGCGGGGGCCCGGGAGGAGGGGCGGCAGGGGGCTGGCAGGGGCCGGTGCAGGGCCCAGGACACTGCGGGAGGCTCAGCCGGCCCCCCACCGGCAGGACCTGGTGAACGGGTACCGGTGTGTGTGTCCACGCGGCTTCTGGGGCCAGCACTGTGAGCTGGAGCGGCAGGCCTGCGCCAGCAGCCCCTGCCACGGCGGTGGCCTCTGCGAGGACCTGGTGGACGGCTTCCGCTGCCACTGCCCCAGAGGCCTCTCTGGGTCCCTCTGCGAGGTGAGGCCTGGGCGCTGGGAGGGGCACCAGCCCAAGTGACCAGCAGCTGACCCCACATCCCAGGCCCAGCTCTGGGCTCTGGAGAGCCTGGGTGCCTGGCTGGGCCGGTGTGGGGGGGGCTGCCCAGGGAGCCCCTCCTGGTGTGTGTGGGGGGCCCATCTGCCCAGGCCGTCAGCAGCTGGAGCACAAGTGGCCCTGATGGCTGGGCAGGTGGGCGGCCCCTGGGGACGTGGGGGGAGGCGTTTGTGCATGGAGGGTGGGTCCACCTCCCCTCCCCACCTCTCCGTGCAGCCGACTTGGCCTTCGGCGGAAGGAGCATGGAGGTGGCTGGCTCTGGGGGGACCCACAGCCTTGGCTTCCAGGGTGGCCTGGCGGGGGTGAGGGACAGGAGGTGGCCTTCCTGCCGGCGGGAGGGGCCGAGGCCGGATGCAGCCCTTGGGAGGCAGAGGAAGTTGGGCTGTAGTGGCGGCGAGGGCGTTGGGAGGAGGCCTGGGGCTCACAGGTGTTTCCGTCCAGCGGCCAGGGCCTGGACGGCCGTGGGGTGGAGGCGGCTGCAGTGCCCAGGCCGGGGCTAAGAGGGGCCTGCCTTTGCCTGGACGCGGGGGTGGGGGCGGGCGGCCCTGACAGGTGCACTCCCCGCGGCGCAGGTGACTGTGGACGTGTGTGAGCCTAGTCCCTGCCACAACGGGGCTCGCTGCTACAGCTTGGACGGCGACTACTACTGCGCGTGCCCCGAGGACTTCGGTGGCAAGAACTGCTCGGTGCCCAGGGAGCCGTGCCCCGGCGGGGCCTGCAGAGGTGTGCGGTGCGGCCGGGCGGGGGCGGGGGCCCGGCGGGGGCGGTCCTGACTCCTGCCCGTCTGCGCAGTGGTGGACGGCTGCGGGTTTGAGGTGGGGCCCGGGGCGCCCGGCTTGGCGCCCCCCGGCGTGTGCGGCCCCCACGGACACTGCATCAGCCAGCCCGGGGGCAGCTTCTCGTGCGTCTGCGACAGCGGCTTCACAGGCACCTACTGCCACGAGAGTGAGTGGGGCGGGGGCCGGGCCGCCCGGGGACCCGCCGCCCGCGCGCCGGCTCACCGGCCTCCCCCGCAGACATCGACGACTGCCTGGGCCAGCCCTGCCACAACGGCGGCACCTGCATCGACGAGGTGGACGCCTTCCGCTGCTTCTGCCCGAGCGGCTGGGAGGGGGAGCTCTGTGACACCAGTGAGTGCGGCGCCGGGGCGCGGCCACGGGGCCCCCGCCCCGCCCCACCCCGCTGACCCTCGGCCTCGCCCCCAGATCCCAACGACTGCCTCCCCGACCCGTGCCACAGCCGCGGCCGCTGCCACGACTTGGTCAACGACTTCTACTGCGTCTGCGACGACGGCTGGAAGGGCAAGACCTGCCACTCGCGTGAGCGCCGGGGCGTGGGGGGCGGGGCCTCGCCGGGCCAACGCCCGCTGACGGCCGTGTGCCCGCAGGTGAGTTCCAGTGCGACGCCTACACCTGCAGCAATGGCGGCACCTGCTACGACAGCGGCGACACCTTCCGCTGCGCCTGCCCCCCGGGCTGGAAGGGCAGCACCTGCGCTGTGGGTGAGGAGCCCCCCCCGCTCCATCCGTGCCCTGTGGGGGATGGGGAGCCCCCATGCCCCCCCACTCCATCCGTGCCCTGTGGGGGATGGGGAGCCCCACCTGCCCTGCTCCATCCGTGCCCTGTGGGGGATGGGGAGCCCCCATGCCCCCCCACTCCATCCGTGCCCTGTGGGGGATGGGGAGCCCCACCTGCCCTGCTCCATCCATGCCCTGTGGGGGATGGGGAGCCCCGATGACCCCCTGCTCCATCCGTGCCCTGTGGGGGATGGGGAGCCCCCATGCCCCCCCACTCCATCTGCGCCTGTGGGGTGGGCGTGGCACCAGGTGAGCGCCTCCCCCCCCCCACAGCCAGGAACAGCAGCTGCTTCCCTAACCCCTGCGTGAACGGGGGCACCTGCGTGGGCAGCGGCGACTCCTTCTCCTGCATCTGCCGGGACGGCTGGGAGGGCCGCACCTGCACTCACAGTGAGCGGGCGGGGGCTCCCCTCCCTGCCCAGGGCCTGCCCCTGCCTGTCCCCCAGCACAACTCTCCCCCAGGGCGACGCCCCAAGCCCCCCACCCCGCCCTGTGGCTGCTCACCCTGCATCGAGCCCTCTGCCCCATCCCCCAGCCAAAGGCTCTGAGCCCCGCCCCCAGGCTCCTGCCCCTCCCCGGCCCCTGGGCAGGGCCGGGCTGGACGGTGCAGGGGGGCTGTACCGACCGCCCTGTCCTCTCTCAAACCCAGACACCAACGACTGCAACCCCCTGCCGTGGTGAGTGCAGCTTCGGCAGTGGGCGGGGCGGGGCCTGGGGTTGGGGCTCGCCTGACGCCCGTGCCCCACAGCTACAACGGTGGCGTCTGCGTGGACGGCGTCAACTGGTTCCGCTGCGAGTGTGCGCCGGGCTTCGCAGGTCCTGACTGCCGCATCAGTGAGTGGGGGCTCAGCCCAGCCCGGGCATCAGTGAGTGGGGGGCTCAGTGAGTGGGGGCTCAGCCCAGCCCGGGCACCTCGGCCACCTCCTGCCTCACCCCAGCATTGGTTCCCCCTCCCCCACTGCCCGGGTCGCACCCTGCCTGGTGACGAAACTCAGAAGGGCTGGGGTCCCTGGGCTGGGGTCACAGCTTCACCTGGGCCCTTCTGGCCTGGGCCATCCGTCACTGTTGCCCGCAGAGGCGTGCCCCCCGCAGGGCTCGGGGGCCCAGCAGGCCAGGGTCTACTCCCCGGGGGCGGGGTGCCCAGCAGGCCAGGGACTACTCCCCGGGGGCGGGGGCCCAGCAAGCCCAGGGACTACTCCCCAGGGGCGGGGTGCCCAGCAGGCCCAGGGACTACTCCCCGGGGGCGGGGGCCCAGCAAGCCCAGGGACTACTCCCCAGGGGCGGGGTGCCCAGCAGGCCCAGGGACTACTCCCCGGGGGCGGGGTGCCCAGCAGGCCAGGGACTACCCCCGGGGGCGGGGTGCCCAGCAGGCCAGGGACTACTCCCCGGGGGCGGGGGCCCAGAAGGCCAGGGTCTACTCCCCGGGGGCGGGGTGCCCAGCAAGCCCAGGGACTACTCCCCGGGGGCAGGGTGCCCAGCAGGCCAGGGACTACTCCCCGGGGGCGGGGGCCCAGAAGGCCAGGGTCTACTCCCCGGGGGCGGGGGCCCAGCAAGCCCAGGGACTACTCCCCAGGGGCGGGGTGCCCAGCAGGCCCAGGGACTACTCCCCGGGGGCGGGGGCCCAGCAGGCCAGGGACTACCCCCGGGGGCGGGGTGCCCAGCAGGCCAGGGACTACTCCCCAGGGGCGCCAGCCCTGCTGAGCAAATGGCACATTCCCGCAGACATCGATGAGTGCCAGTCCTCGCCCTGTGCCTACGGGGCCACCTGTGTGGACGAGATCAACGGCTACCACTGCAGCTGCCCGCCAGGCCGGGCTGGGCCTCGGTGCCAGGAAGGTAGGCTGGCGTGGTCCCACGGGGCGTGGCCGGGTCAGGGCCCAGGCGCCGCCCCCTCAGGCTGCCTCTCCCCACAGTCGTCGGGTTCGGGAGATCCTGCTGGTCGCGGGGCACGCCGCTCCCACACGGCAGCTCCTGGGTGGAGGACTGCAACAGCTGCCGCTGCCTGGATGGCCGCCGGGACTGCAGCAAGGTGGGGGCCGGCGCTGCCCTTCCCTGTGGGTGGGGGGCAGGCCCAGGACCTGCTGACCCCCATGCCGGTCTCGGTCCTCCTCACCCACGCGTGCCTGTCCCAGGTGTGGTGCGGGTGGAAGCCGTGCCTGCTGGCAGCCGAGTCCAACAGACCGGACACCCAGTGCCCGCCAGGACAGCAGTGCCGGGAGAGGGCTGAGGGCCAGTGCCTGCAGCCGCCCTGCGCCGCCTGGGGGGAGTGTGGTGCCGAGGAGCCCCTGCTGCCCGGCACCCCCTGCCTGCCGCGCTCCGGCCACCTTGACAACAACTGCGCCCGCCTCACGCTGCGCTTCAACCGCGACCAGGTGCCCCAGGTGAGCGGGGCCCAGTGCGGGAGCCGAGCTGGGCCCTGGGGGGGGGGGGGGACGGCGCCCACGGCAGCAGGCACCTGTGCCCTCCACCTCTCCCTCCAGCCTCTGCCCCAGTCCTGGCTGTGAGGGGGCCTGAGCCCCAGGTCCTCGGCTGACCCTGTTCACGCGTGGTGTCGGCTCAGGGCACCACCGTGGGCACCATCTGCTCTGGGATCCGCTCCCTGCCGGCCACCAGGGCCGTCGCCCGGGACCGCCTGCTGGTGCTGCTGTGTGACCGGTCCCCCTCGGGGCCCAGCGCTGTGGAAGTGGCTGTGGTGAGTGTGGTGCCAAGGGCCCTGGCTGGGATTGGCCGGGTGCTAGGTGACCTGCACACACAGGGGCCTGGTGGCACCTTGCTTGCCCATGCTGTTGGAAGCTTTGGCCAGCAGGGTCCAGGCTGGGAGCTGGGCACCAGGCGTCAGTGGGAAGGGTGGGCAGAGGGAGAAGTTGGGGGCATCCGGGGGGTCACCAGCAACCCAAGGGCTCGGCTTCCTGGGGGTGGGGCTGATGGGCAGCTCATCTGTGCAGGAGGTGGTGGCCGGAGCGAGGGTGGGCAGAGGCACTGCCAGACATCGGCAGGGGCGGGGTTGGCAGGCGGCTGGGCAGGCAGTGGGTGGGACCGGTTCTGGGGTCTCTGGTGCGGCCTGTGCAGACAACGGCTGGATGTCGGCTCCAGCTGTTTGGTCTGAGGCTGTGGGTGTCAGGGCTCTAGGCAGGGGGTCCTGGGGAGGGGCCGTGTGCAGGGGGGTCATGGGCAGGGTGGGGGCAGGCGAGTGAGGAAGCCCCCAGCCTGAGAACGGGGCTGGGCCCTCATTGAGACTCCTCAGGCTGCCTGTGGGGACCCCCGGCAGGGTCTGGGTGCTGCTCGGCCCCTCCCACCTCTGCTGTGCGTGAGCCCCTGTTCCCGGAGTGGTGGGGAGTGCTCGGTGCGTGACACGGGGTGGCGGGAAGCGGAGGCCACCTCTGCCCCCCCAGCTCCAGACCTCCTCCTGGCGCCTCCCGGGGCCCCCAGGCGGGGCCAGGCGCTCAGCCCGCACTCTGCAGTCCTTTAGCCCCGCGCGGGACCTGCCCGACAGCAGCCTGATCCAGAGCGCGGCCCACGCCATCGTGGCGGCCGTCACGCAGCGCGGGAACGGCTCGGTGCTGCTGGCGGTCACCGAGGTCAAGGTGGAGACCGTGGTCGCGGGCGGCCCCTCCACAGGTGCGGCAGGTGCACAGGCGGCTGGCGCCCCGCCCACCCCCACAGCGTCCCCGCCTCCGCGCGTCCTGCCCCACCCACCCCGTGCCCAGGGCTCACGCGCCGCCCCCCGCCCCCCGCCCCCAGGCCTGCTGGTGCCCGTGCTGTGCGGCGTGTTCAGCGTGCTGTGGCTGGCGTGCGTGGCACTGTGCGTCTGGTGGACGCGCAAGCGCAGGAAAGAGCGGGAGCGGAGCCGCTTGCCGCGCGAGGACGGAGCCAACAACCAGTGGGCGCCGCTGAACCCCATCCGCAACCCCATCGCGCGGCCGGGCCCCCACAAGAACTTCGCGCCGCGGCCGCGGGGGGCGGGCGGCGGCGGCGGCGGCGACGACGAGGACGCGCTGGAAGTGGACAAGTTCCTGCCGCGCTCGCCTGCCAAGGACGCGCGCTGGGCCGCGGGCCCCAAGGTGGACAACCGCGCCGTGCGGGGCGCGCCCGAGGCCCCGCGGGCGCCCGGGCCGTGTGCATAGTTCCTCTATTTTGTGTAAAAAAAAAAAACAACCCCACCAAAAACCAAAAAACAAATGTTTATTTTCTACGTTCCTGGACCCGTGTATAAATTATTCAGTGACGCCGGGCGGGAGGCGCTGTTTGTGTAAGGAGCGTGCGGGAGCCACGTGGGGCTGCGGCCCGGGGCGGCTGCCGCGGACCCACCTTCCTACGCCCCGTCGGGGTGTCCGGTGGCTTGGGGCCCAGGAGCTGCGCGGCGGCCGTGGTGCGGCACCCGCGGGGCCGCCGCCCCCATGCCCTCCTGCCCGCGCCCACACCGCGCCCGCACCGCGCCCGCACCGCCCGCTCCAGAGACCTCCCCTGTGCTTCAGAAGTGGCCTTCCCGCACGCGCCCTGGCCGCGGGGCCCCCGGCGCGTGACAAGTGCCTTCCCGCCCCTCCCCCGCAGGTGCACTGTGAATATGTACATATTAAAGGAACATTCTGTATATTTGATTTAATGCCCGCACTTGCTGCCTCCCTCTTCTTTGCGGGGCTGGGAGGGAGGGACCCTGGCTGGGAGGGGCTGGAAGAAGCCCCTAAGCTGCCTGTGATGGAGCTCCGGGGCCTGGTTCCCGGGACCCCCCCCCCCCAGAACATGGGAGTAGGCAGCGCCCTGGGGCAGGTGGCCGGGGAGCTGCCTTGGCCTTGCTGTTGGGGGTCCCACTGACCCAGGCCCCACTGACCCAAGCCGTGCCCCCCACCCCGGGGCAGGGGTCGCCCAAGCTGAGCAAAGCCCAGGAGTGGTCAGCAAGGAGGGGAGGCTGGACGGCGGCTTTGTGGGCAGGTGACCCCGACAGCGGCAGGGAGCTCACGTGGCTGTCCCTCTTGTAAGAACTGACTGACTTATCTTTGTTTGAAAGGTAGACACAGAGAATGTTCTTCCATCGCCGGTTCACTCCCCCGATGGCCACAACCGCTGGGGCTGCGCCCGGCCGCAGCCAGGGGCCAGGAACTCCATGGGGACCCCCCCGGATGGCAGGCACCGTCACTGCTGCCTCCCAAGGGGTGCGTTAGCGGGAAGTGCCGCGGGCCTGGAACCCGGGTACGGCACGTGGGCGTCCCAGGAGGCGCCTCGGAGCACACGTGACACGTGTGTGCACAGGCCTGCGGGTTCCTCTTCTGGGGTGAGGCCTCCACCCAGGAGGACGAGGGACATCTGGGCCCTGGTGCAGGTGTGGTTTGTGCCCGTCGTGGGGCACAAGGCCCAGAGGGGCCGGGGCTTCATGGTGCTCACCTCACCCGTGGCCCCGGCCACCAGGTGGCAGCAAAGGCAAATCGTCCCACACTGGAACACGCGTGCAGGACAGCTGGCACAGGGGGCAGGATTCTCAGCTTGGATCCTGGCAGCGTTCCCTCCCTCCCTCCCTCCCTGCCTCCCTCCCTCCCTTTCTCCCTGTCTCTTTTTCTTTTTTTTCATTTCTTTTCTTTCTTTCTTTCTTTTTTTTTTTTTTTTTTTGATAGGCAGAGTTAGTGAGAGAGAGAGACAGAGAGAAAGGTCTTCCTTTTCCGTTGGTTCACTCCCTAAATGGCCGCTACGGCCAGCACGCTGTGGCCAGTGCACAGCGCCAATCTGAAGCCAGGAGCTAGGTGCTTCTCCTGGTCTCCCATGCGGGTGCAGGGCCCAAGCACCTGGGCCATCCTCCACTGCCTTCTCAGGCCACAGCAGAGAGCTGGACTGGAAGAGGAGCAGCCGAGACAGAACTGGCGCCCCAACCAGGACTAGAACAGGCGGAGGATTAGCCTAGTGAGCCGTGGCATCGGCCTCTCTTTCTTTTCTTAAGATTTATCTATTTATTTAAGGCCGGCGCCGCGGCTCACTAGGCTAATCCTCCGCCTTGCGGCGCCAGCACACTGGGTTCTAGTCCCGGTCGGGGCGCCGGATTCTGTCCCGGTTGCCCCTCTTCCAGGCCAGCTCTCTGCTGTGGCCAGGGAGGGCAGTGGAGGATGGCCCAAGTGCTTGGGCCCTGCACCCCATGGGAGACCAGGAGAAGCACCTGGCTCCTGCCATCGGATCAGCGCGGTGCGCTGGCCGCAGCGCGCTGGCTGCGGCGGCCATTGGAGGGTGAACCAACGGCAAAGAAAGACCTTTCTCTCTGTCTCTCTCTCTCACTGTCCACTCTGCCTGTCCAAAAAAAAAAATTATCTATTTATTTAAAAGAGTTACACAGAGAGGAGAGGCAGAGAGAGAGCTCTTCCATCCGCTGGTTCACTCCTCAATTGGCTGCGACGGCTGGAGCTGCGCCCGTCCAGAGCCAGGAGCCAGGAGCTTCTTCCAGGTCTCCCCCGTGGGTGCAGGGGCCCCAGTACTTGGGCCATCTTCCATTGCTTTCCCAGGTCATAGCGGAGAGCTGGATGGGAAGAGGAGCAGCCAGGTCTCAACCAGCGCCCACATGGGAGGCCGGCACTGCAGGCGGCGGCTTTACCCGCTGTGCTGCAGCGCCGGACCTGGGAAGACGGGTGTGGAGGACGCGGGTGGACCCAGCCACAGACCTGAGAACCAGGTGGAGCTTCTAGAGATGGACACGTGCCGGACACACGCTGAAAACCGGGAGTGCTGGCGGGCAGCCGTCCTTAGATGCTGCCGAAGGGAGACTCCGGGAACTGGAAGACACCCGGGAGGAGGTGCTGCAGGACACAGCCGGCTCCTGGTGAGCGGGCACCGCGGGGGCCGGGACGTGCTGCTCGCGGCACCCGCTGGGCTGGGCCATGTCCCCCACATTCTGGGGAAGCCCAGGGACTCCCAGGACACAGCCTGGCCTCTGCCTGTCCAGGGTGAGGCTCCCAGAAGGAACCTGCACTGAGCAGGCCTGGGTAGAACCGGGGCCTCCGCAAGCCAGCTGCACGTGTTCACGTGTGTGAGACCCCAAAGCTGTGTGTGCACGCATGTGCAGCCCCCATGGCTGTGTGTGTTCACATGTGAGGCTGTGCATGTACATGTGTGTGCAGGTTCCATGGCTGTGAGTGTACACACGTGTGCGACCCCACAGCTGTGAGTGTGCAGGCGTGTGCAGCCCCCACAAGCCTGCCTCCCATTCTCCATCGACCTCCCCACGCCTCCCCCACAGGGGCCTGGCCTAGTCAGTCGTTGAGGAGTGGTGGCCGGGCCCAGGCGGAGGTCCAGGCCCTGTGGCCAGCCTATGTCCCCACCCCACCCGGCCTGTCTCAGCGGGCAGGGACTTGGTCGGCAAGTCCGGCCAGAGGGAACCTTGGTCAAGGGCACTGCAGTGACTGAGGCTGGTGCGGTCCCCAGCTCCCAGAGCCAAGCGAGAGGAGCAGCCCCGGACTGAGCTGGGCGGGGGAGGCTGCGCTGCTCCCAGCCCTGCACGCTGTGGGCAAGTGTGGCCCTGTATGGCCGCCGTGTCTCCAGGAGCTGTGCTGCGGGCGCCATGAGGCTGCGGGACCTCCCCCGGGGCCACCTCCCGCAGGGGCCTCTCCGCCTGTCCACCCCCACCCCCCGTCCTGGGCAAGCTGCATGGAGAGGCTGTGGTCTGTGCTGCTTTGGGGCCTCAAGGCCCAGAGGTGGGGTGGGGTGGGACGGGGCGCCCCAGGCCCTTGGCCCTGCTCCCAGTGGGTGTCTGAGGCCGATGAGGTCAAGGTTGTCACGCCCATTATTTCCACCCAGGGCCTCAAAGCAGGGCAGGAGGGAAGGTGGCAGGTGCCCTGGTCAGCGGTGGGGGCTGGGGCCCTGGAACATAGCAGAGACGGGCGGGGGTCCTGGGCCGCCCCGTGAAGCTCACCTGGAGGGCCCAGCAGGTGTTGGTCACATGGCTCTGAGCATGGGGAGGAGCCTGGGCCAGCAGAGAGTATGCGGCCCACTGGGACCCCAGGTAGGGACCTGGCTATGGATGGAGGAGAGTCCCGGCCCCTGCACAGCAGCTGCTGCGGGCTCCCAGGGCGCAGGCGGGTCCGCCCTCTGCTCGTGCCCACGGCCAGGGCAGGGCCGGTGGTGGCTCCAGCCTGCGGCCAGGTCCCGGCAGCAGGCTGCTGGGGTGTGGGCCTCTCCTCTCACCACCACCTCCCCCCCAACCAGAGGCTACCAGCGGCTTCCTGGGCACACGCCCCGGGGACGGCACCAGCTGCTCTGCCTGGAGACAGTGCCGACTGCCTTGTCTCCGAAGAAACCAGGCCCCGGGGGGCGGCGCGGGGAATCCACACAGGGGCTGGGCCCTGCCTGCTATGGCCAGGCCCATTAACCCCTGCACGCCGGGCTGGCGGGCGGGTGGCACGGGTCTCCCGGTGGCTGTGGGCCCAAGTCAGCTGTCCCAAGCAAGTGCAGGGCTGGGCCCTTCCTCGCAGGGCCCCAGACCTGGGAGCCCAGGCTGGCAGGAGTGCGAGGGTCTCAGGTTGAGTGGGGGATGCCGGGGTTGGGGCTGAGGCCTGGGAGCACAGGGCCTGTCCTGGGAGGGCCCCAGGAGGTGGGACCAGGGGCACCTGGTGAGAGGTCCGTGCTCCCCTGTGAGCCCACGTCTCTGCGGAGGGTTCTGGAAGGACGGAGCCTCCAGGGAGCAGCTCAGGCGGGGATGCCTGTGTGGGGGCAGTGTTTGTGCCTGTGTTGATGTGGGGTGGAGGGGCCCGAGGCTCGGGGGCAGGGCCTGGACAGGTCAGCCCAGGTCACTTCCTTCTCTACCGATGCATTCTCACGGGGCCTAAACCCTCAGGCTCATGGACAGCGCCCTTGGAGCCCTTGGCCAGGGTGGGACACAGACGCTGGCAGGGCCCAGGTGGGGCGCGCAGCCTCGGGGAGAGGCACCACGGGGTGTGTGCAGTGGCCACCAGCTGGGCTGGCCGGCAGCAGCTTTTGCTATATATATATATATTTTTTTTTTTTTTGACAGG